TATATAAGGTGTTAATAAATTCGCTCTAAATATTTTATGAGGTTGGTGGGAATCAATAAACTGACACGTTTAGCAAAAAAAAATTAACAATTTTAACAACTTTTATTTTTAACAAAAATAAAGGAGTTGGTTAAACGTTTTTGTGCAAACCGTACGTGGGGCTGCGCTTGCGGCCCGAGCGAAGCAATGGCGCGCCGTCACCGTCCCCATGTTATCGCAATCTCTCTCTCTTTCTCCCTCTCTCCCGTTCGCTAGTTGCCCCGCTCTCTTTCCCACTTCTCTCTCTCTCGATCGCCAGTTGACCGATAGCTGTCGCGCGGGAAGGGTGTGGCCCTCAGTGTCGTTCAGTGTTGTGTCCGATCAATCGCACGCGCCATTTTTTATTGTTTGTTGTTCAATATTCAATAATGCAGTTTACGCATAGTAACCGCAAGTACTTAGACATGTTAATGTGGTACATTAGAAGTGGCGAAAATGTATCTGCAGCTCGTCAGTGGTAGTGAGATTAGAAACGCGGACGAATTAAAAATAAGCATAATAAACGCGTTTGATATTATTAAAAGTGACAGAGACACATTATTGCGAGTGAAAAACAACGTAATACGTCGCGTCGTACAAACTTGTGCATCGAACAAAGTGGAAGACACTTCCAAGTTCCAGCATCTTCTGTAAATAAGGTAGACTCTTTGTTAATACTTAGGTATCTAGAGACGGGCATTTATTCCGATGAATACTTGTAAATGATAAATACCTAAGTAACTACCAACCTACCACCTAGTACTAGTACTACTAACTACCGAAGTATTGGTTTTTGGTTGAGTTATTATTAGTATTTACCTATTCAAAAAATTGACATAATTAATCATTGTAGCTATGCTATTTTAATTATAAGCATATCAATTCAGTTAAATAACATAATCTAAACAGAGTCGTGTGGTCGTTTATTAAAATGAAACATTATTAAGTTCAGTAGTAACATAAGCGCGCGGTACCACGACACCTGCGTCAGCGCGGTCGCTCGGGGCTTCGTCGACGGCCTAGTACGCCGTACGGCGCGCATATTAGGCTGTTTACGTGTAACACAAATAGTGGAATAACTTTAGAACGGTAGCTTTTTGTTAAATTATTTTTTCGTGATTAATTATGGAATAAATGTTACAACAAAACCTTAGATTTCCTAGAGTTAATCTATTAACACCTTATATAGTGACATGGCTAAATTGAACAAATTTGAATGAATAGTTTAACTAATCATTGATTTCTTCAGAGGAGGAAATATTATATGATTATATAATGTCTAGATGGAGTGTCAGTTCACGAGTTTTAATAATTAGCAGTGAACTGTTGACTGCAATGTACTTTACCGTCGAGTAGTACCTACCGGGGCACCGGGGCACCCAGGCGTCACTAGTCACTACGTCTCATGCACGCCACACAATAAATAAGTAAACACACAATCACTGTTATCCACGAAAAAGTACACCCTGTGTATTACAACTGTACAAGTGTAAATAAATTCCGTAGAGACAATATTTGATAATATTTTTTTAAATTTATACTTAATGGGTCGACGTTTGGCCACCATCTCGCCTGATTGTAAGATTAAAAAAAGAAACAGTGGCGGGGTGTTACTAGTTAGATACCGAACCCAAAAATGTGATCAAAATAATTCTTCTGTCTGTCTGTATGTCCACGCATCAGTTTACTGCATCGAATCAAAAGTGGGACTATATGTACAGCAGCACTCACCATCTGCCGCAGCTCCATCATTTTCTTCATCAGCGACTCTGTCTGCTTGCTCATCTCCTCGAAGTTGCCGCGCGTCTGCAAGCGGCGGGGTGGGAGGGGGAGGGGGAGTTAGTAGGCGCACACACACACGCGCGCACACACACGCACACACACGCGCGCACACACACACACTCACCCGCTGAATGCGCAGCTGCAGGTCCTTGACGCGCGGCTCTGCGTCGGCGTGCACGTCGTGCGCGGTGTGATGGAAGGTCCACCAGCCGAACACGAAGCCCAGCAGTGTCTCCACCAGCTCGAACTTCTTGCGCTCCTGCACGGCCTGTAGCTGGAACACGTACTCCAGGGACGCCTGGCAGAAGTCGCGCTCCGCCATGTCCATGGCCGCGTCCGCCTGCGCACACGCTCACGCTCACTCGGGCTCCGCGAGTTAGGTACACAATCGTATAGTTATTGCGTCATACTATGTAGGCTGTGGAGGCTCGGGGGATCCTGCACCAGGCTATGTTGCACACTCGATTTTATTCTAATTCATTCATTCTAATATATCTAAACTTTGTTTGCGCTATGTAGGATGTTGACTTGACAACATTGACTTGTTGGCTTATGGTTGAGTTTGTCCTCATCTTCTATACTTATAATAAATCTGCAGAGGTCAAATCTGTACATGAAATATATTTCCAAAATAACTACCAGTGGGTGAATAATAATGCCATAAATGCAATCAGTAAAATTTTTTAATGTCTGTCTGTCTGTCTTTCTGAATGTTCCTTATAGAAACAAAAACTAGTCGATGGACTTTAACGAAACTTGATACAATTATTTTTCATACTCCTAGGGAGGTTATAGTATACTTTCCATAACGCTACAAGCTACAATCAATAGGAGCAGAGCAGTGAAGGAAAGTGTTGGGAAAACGGGAGAAGTTACTCCATTTTTTAAGCTTCCGTCGCGTTTGCAGCCTTAGTGGTTAAAGCTACATAGAAATTATGTATGACGGAAATGTTCTACATGAAAATTATCTGAAACACATCTCAAACAGCATATGTTTATATATTATGGTTGACTCACAATGACATGTGTAACTCCCGATAGCTTATTAGTTCGGAGCTTTCTGCTTATATTTATCCATAGTTAAAAAAAGTTAACAATATTACTTATTCATTAAAAAAAGAATATTAGAAATCGGTATAGAAACACCAAAGTTTTATACATGAAATACGCTAATAAGCCATCGCGCCCGTCGCGCTCGCGCGTGAATACTGGATCATGCTATAAGGATTATTTTGTGTAACGGTTGCCGCGGCGGTGGACGCGGGTCGTCACATAGGCTTTTTACCCCTGGGAAAGCGGGCGAAGCCGCTGGCAGAAGCTAGTAGTTAAATATAAACATACCTATACTCTCCTACACTAGAGGTTTTTAATAATAGTTAGAGAGATGACGACCAACATTTTTATCTCATAGTAATACGGCCAAAACCGCCTCAAATCGATAGATACGATGATCCTGAACTCGAAAATACCAATATCAGACATTTTCCGCGTAGCGTTTGATCTGACCACATAAACACCAGACAAAAAAAAATGTCTCATAGCAATACGTCTGAAAACCTTTTTTATTAGTAAATTTTGGTTATTTGATGCGAACCTTGGAATGAGCAAATAGCTTCACTTTTAATATTTTTTTTGACGTTCAAAAGTGCCATTCTGGCCTAATTGAAATAAATGATTTTGACTTTGACTTTGAACAAAACAATTTTCAGACGGAAATGTGAACACATTAAATATTGAGACCGTTTTGAAAAGTTTTAACAAATTTTACCGATCGGTATCATGGCAATATGTCTGAAAATTGTTGGACATGATAAAATAAGTTGTCCACATGTGCAAAAAATGTATATCAGACAAAATAAGTGTAGCACCTTCTCTATCAGACAACTTTTCGATACTCAGATATTTTTGACACAGCAGAAATGGCCTCCCACGCAGTTGCTACACTTTCGACCGTTACTACACACCTATAGTCGGGTTCAGAATCATACAATCTAACGATTTTATAGGGTTTTTGCCGTATTGCTATGAGACATGGTTTTGGTCGTCATCTCTCGTAGTATAATATCGGTAAAGATTTGTCTAAAGAAATAGTCGACTTGTATTACCTCCTGGAACACGGCCTCCGGTTTCTTGGTAGAAAGCGAGAGAGTCCGCTCCTGGCTCTGACAGAACTTGGCAGTCTTCTTGTCAAACTTCTTCTTGCCCTCCTGTAAGTACACAGCGTCGTTAGGGCAGGCGAGGCGGCGGTATGGCTCAGTGTTGCCTGCAGTTTGGGACACTCACCTTGACGGCGCCGATGTGCTCCTTGCGGAAGCGCTCGAGCGGCTGGATGATCTGCTCGTGCGCGCGCCCCAACTGCAACACAACGCCACGTGTTGTACCCGCTGCAGATACAGAACTCTCAGAAACGGACCCCAAGTTACGGAGTTAAGGATTTGTATCTGTCGCTTGTTCCGACAATGAGGTGTTCCTAGAGAGCGTTATGTTGGACGACGAAGAGGAGGAAACAGAGTGTAACCTGAATATTAATATTAGCCCATATATTTGTGCAATATATTATTCGTTGACATTGGCCGCCATGACCCCATTCAAGTGAGAAGACCGTTATGTGTCCCATTTTATCAATTAATTAATCGGATTACAGTAAAAAGCTTTCGCATTGCTAGGGGCTCCGGACGCAGTATACTTTAGGCTCTTTTTAAATCAGTGAAAATAAAAGAGCTGCTGCTATTTGTACCAGAAAACGGTATCTTTATAATTAACATACATTTAAATATATTTCTAAACGCATACAAGGAGTCAATAATACAGGTCCGACAGGACGGTGACATCAGTGATTGGGAGCAGTTTCACTTTCGGCGGTGCGCGGCGCGGGCGACCTCATTGGCAGGCGGCGCGCGGCGCACGGCTGGCGAGTGAAGGTCGCCGCGTGTTTACTAACAAACCACGGCCGGCCCGGGACTACCAACTATAATAATTTCTCTACTAGACAGGCAATTAATCGAAAGTGATTCCCAATACCTACATCCTTCATCAAAAAGGTACCTGCCTATTTAAGTTACAAGGAGAAGAGAATAATATCCACACAATATCTCAACACATACTAACGCCAATTTTACAAATTGACTGTGTATTTATTATTAACTGCAGCATGCATGAATGCAGTGTGTACTGACCATGCGGTCCCGCTCGTCCTCGATGGTGCGGATGAGCGTGGCGAAGTGGTGCAACGAGTGGCTGATGACGCGCTCGTCCTCCGTCATGGAGGCGCCGATGCACGCGAACTCGAACTGTTCCATGCTGGTGGCCAGCGCCAGCTGCGCCGCTCCCAAACCTGCGCGCAACTCGCATTTTAAACGTCACTTGTGTTAACCCACTTCGAAATATCCCTATAGTGTTGATTAGAAATACTTTTGTAGCAACTATCCGTGATTGAATCCATTGTAATTCCTACCCTTTGTAATACAATAAAAGTGCAACGTTTTTAAATAAATTACTACAGCAGTCTACAATGACCTGCACACTAAGAAAAGACAGATCCTGGCCCGATGTACCCAGTGACAGATCACATGTCATGAGCGGCACTGCACGCAGTGCATACACTGCAAGGCCACGGCTATGTCTGAGCTCGCTGCTACACGCGTCCATGTCTCAGCTAACGCGTGACTCACTCGTACTAACTACGTTCGCGCGACTGCTGTCTCTTGTGGCATATCTCGGGCTTTGTGCACAATACATACCTACTTACATATTTCCGGAAAACTACTGCTAATATATTAAGTAAAGAATGAAACGTAATAGTAGGCACTTGTAATTAGTATTACAGTAGGTATGTGGTTATCTAGATAGTAGGGTGTCGCGTCCCGAGAAGGCGCGCGTGTGCTACGACCGATTCCTCAAGGACAAGATTAATAAGAATGCAGATAATAGCATATTATAAGTCCGATATAACGATATTCTTTAGATAGAGGCGGCGGCCGGCGAGGACGATGACGGCGCCGCAAGCATACCAACGTCGCTATCAACACTGTTATCACACAACACAGTACTCTAACAACGTGCGTGAACAGTTCACCAGTGCGTTCGTCACTCCTGCTCGCCTGCGACATACTCTCCATCCCTCACCTCATACATGGGAGGTTTGTCAAGGGACGAGGTGACAAGGCTAACAACCACTAATGAAATGAAATTATATGCTAAAAATTTGCTTCAATAAAAACCTACTTTAAGGGCTACCCACCTAGTGGTGGGTTTATAGATAGGTCACACACCATTAAACTGTCAAACGCCAAGCGGTCACCGGTGACCGCAACCTATTGTTCTATAATTGTGTCTACAAAACCTGTACTCGACGAGTTAATTATGTATATTAGACTAAAAAGATAGAATGGGATAGGTATATACTTCCTTACAATAGCTTATGTGTATACTTCCTGAGAACTTGTACAAAATCTTTATGTGTTCCTCCTACTACTCTTATGGGAAATTAAGTAAAGCCTGTCCAGGTGCCTTGCTAGACTTCATTAAATTCTTACCTCCAGTAGTTTTATCTGTGTTTAGCTAGGTGTGGACCTATCACACTAGTGGTAGTGTCAGTCCTGACACCTACCATGTATGTTGTATTGTATATTTAATGCTAATGGATAATTTCTTATTGTGCAATATTATTAATTTGTAAATGACAATAGTCTTTCTTCCTTATTTATGGGATACATAACATAATATACATGGCAATATGGCATACCTGTAACTAAAGCAGTCGCATACTACCTACTTTTTGAACAATAAAACTTCATTGAAGTGGTTTGTATGTAACATGTGTGTATGTTTGTAAGTAAAGTTATATTTGTATATTTATTTCAAGCTTATTCCACAATTAGCACTCCATAACTGTAAGGCTGCCCTTGTAACCTACTTGTGCTATTTTTTAAGTGGCAGGTGGTAAATGAGTACAATAAGTGCCTGCATGTTACTAGCTGCCATTAAGAGAGTACTGACTAGTCAGGGATGTAGTGCATGAGTAGAGTACGTGCGTAATGTTGAATGGGCAGGATGCTTCATCCAGATTAATAACTTTAGAAGACAATATTGAAAACTTGGTCTGAATCATGAAATCATTGGGTAATATAAAACCATCCATCCAACATAAGATTGATGTACATATAAATATGTATGAATGTATAGACGTATGCAGCTGTTTATTGCATGTGGACAGTGAACAGTCACACTAATTAACTAAGTCATTGACACACTTACAGCACTCTGGCCATGAATCACTGCAGGAAGCACACAAGCACTACAGCACGCACCCGGCACTACACGCCGCGCGGCACTGGGCACTGCCAGCACTAGTGCCGCGCCACACAACACAATGTAAACAATAAACATACTAATGTTACAAGGGCTTTGTTGTTATGTACACATTGTACAGCCCGACTGATTAGCTGTTATCACCAGACAATTACTGGCAGTGTACAAACATTAGCTGAGCCACTTACGATGACTACATATGGAGGGCAGACATGCTGATACATACATATATAGTAAAGTTGGAATATAATATAGTTTAAGAAGTGTTACAAGGGCAAGTTCTAAGTAATGTGGGCCATTCTAAACACACGAATAACACAACATCATCGCTTTGTCATGCCGATGAGAAGCCAGTGATAAGTGAGCAGTACTTACGCTTGGCGGCTTGTACAACATCCTTAACTTCTTTTATCAGCCGCTTGATCTGTTGGCTGGTGCGCTCCAACTCCTTCTCATGCCTCTGCAAGTTCTCTCGGAACTGGGGGCTATCCGCGAGACACTCGGTAAACTCGAGCGGCTGCAGGCCCACGCCCATCGTCACCCACTCGCAATCGCGCTTCGCTCACTTGCAGCCTCACGGTCACAACACCACACACTTTCACCCAGCGAGTTCCGGCGCCAACATTGCGACCAGCACCCTGCACTCGTGACCACACTGACGGATACACTCGCGATCTGACCGACCACGAGACAACTATTTATCTTACGCTACACTATCAGTAACTGTTGAGCAAAACGAAAAAAACGAGTGTCCGCTAGGAGACTGACAATACTGACAATTATTACTCAACTGTCAAAATTGTCAACTCGACTCGTATCTTAAATTTTTTTAATAATTTACTTTCTGTCCATAGATACAAGTTTTTCAATCCACACGTATTATAATGTTGCCATTGCCTTTCAAATAATCAAGGGTTTAGGTTTTGAATTTGTGATTTATTCTTCTTTTATCTTTTTTATTATTATATTAAGAAGAAGTGTTTTAAATCGTTAAAAAACTTACTTGATATAATTTTCATAAAATGTGCATATTACATATAATATTCGATTCGATAGAATATCTAGATTTGTTTTACGAATCTTATTATTGATTGGGCTTGGGCACAATAGGACGTCTGGATCTGAATTATCTACTTCAGTGAGTATTATAAGTTTGTATAGTATTATGATCGTTATTGTAAATAAATAATATCATTACATACAAAAAAACATATTTGAGAACTTCAACTTATCAACGGTTTGGTAAGCTAACAATACGTATAACTAGTAATAGTTATTTCTATGGCTGTACAACTCAGAACATATATACCTTTTTTTTTTAAGGGGGGAAAATCATCGAATGACTGCTCCCGCCTGGCAGGGAGTGTCAAAAACCACCCCGTTCCTTCCCCTGCACGTCGAGTCGGAGCCCCGGTTACCCGTTAGGTTCTCCGCGACTCCGAATCGGCATCGGCCGTATTGGGCCCCATCTGTGGTGGTCTGATGGCTCTTTGAGGCGCGCGCGGAACGCGACGCGCCATACGCTCGGGTCTGTTTCTGGTCGGACGGGGAGCAACCCATGCTCGCCGTCCGCAGGCCCGCGCTTACGGTGGCCGGAGATCGTCTCGCGAACATATATACCCTTGGGCTGTACATACTCGGTGCACTACGTAAAGTCTACATCGATGTTAAGTTCTCATTCTCATCAATACAAATTACGGCATTTAATACCACTGTACAATGAACACCCACTTTTCATTATTTATGTTATGAGTCCCATGTAATCGGGGGTGAGCCAATTTCCGTATACAGAGCACAATTCCAGACCATTAACTAAGAATTATTTTAAAAACTCAGTACTACTTTGCCCAACCCGGGAATCGAACCCGAGGCGCCTTGCCCGGTAATCGCACTTGCGATTACGACCACTCGGCCAACGAGGCAGTCGTAAAAAAATAATATTTTCATACTAATAGGCTGTAGCACAGTTCTTTTTTGCTTTTTCGTTGCTGGATCCGAAGCAAATCAAATTTTGCTTGATTTTGGACATCGTTCTATTCCGGGACCTATACTAAAGAAGCGACGATGTCCGGCCACCGTAAGCGCGTGCCTGCGCACGGCGAGCATGGGTGGCTCGCCGCCCGACCGGAACCAGACCCGAGCGTACGGCGCGGAGCGTCAAAGAGCCACCAGACCACCACGGATGGGGCCCAATAGGGCTGAGGCCGATACGGAGCCGCGGAGAACCTAACAGGTTGTCGGGGCTCCAGCTCGAAGTGCAGAAGTAGGAACGGGGTGGTTTTTAGTCGGTAAGAGTCTGAAACTCCCTCCCGCATCATCCTGGCGGGAGAAGTAATTGGACGATTTTCCCCCCTTAAAAAAAATACTAGAGAAGCAGAAGGAGGGAGCGGTAACTGGTAGGAACAATAAAACTAAACTGGCATGTGGACAACAACTCCATGTATTGCGGGGCTTAGGGCGCGGGCGCGGGGGGAGCAGGGGGCGCGTCCTCCTCGGACTGCGACTCTGACTCCGAGTCGTCTTCGTCGTCATCGTCATCCTCGTCATCCTCCTCGTATGATGAGTAGTCACCGCCTTCAGCCGCGTACCCTGCAACATGCAATATTCTCTTCTCATTTCGTCCTTCACACGCGGTGTTAGCACATCTCTGGCGATGCATATGACGATTACATTATGTTACATGGTCTCCTAAGATGATGGTGGACATCAACAATGTAATTTATATTCGTCCAAATTAATATATTATCTAATGTGTCACTATTTGTTTCCCCAAATAAATAAAATAAATAAATGAAACTCAATACCGAGCTGTGATCAAGAACAATGTACATTGTTCCTCACTGAAGGTCAAGCAACAGTATGCAGGCACTGTCATGGCACCGGTTCAACCCAGCAATGAATTAGACATAATAGATCATTTCAATCAGGATCCACCCATACATTTTTGGACCTTTTCTGAAAAAGCCGCCGCCAACGAAAAAACGTTCGTATCGTTAGAACTAGCCATTTGGAGCATTAGTTCCTATGGCGTAAAAGCTGTAGGATCTAAGATAAAGTTATACCAGTTCGAAGATACATCATTTTCATCATCAATTCGCTAGAATAAAGTATCTGAGGTAGTTGTGATTATAATACATGATACAACGAAATGTAGCGTGATGAAAATTATAGTATAACCAGATCAAGGATGAAAAGTAATTGTACCAAGTATTGTAAAAGTAATTGTGTAAAGCAGTGTGATATTAGATAAAGAGGTAGTGCACGGCATGTCGCAGACGGACGAGTGAGGACGGTCGAGGGAGTCGAGACCTGAGGAGTAGGCGCCGGCGTGGTCGTCGTGGTCGTCATCCTCGTCGTCGTAGTTGGCGACGGGCTGGCGGCCGTAGCGGTGCGAGCGCGTGGACATGGCGAGGTCGCTGGTGACGTGCGTGGCGTACGCGCAGCGCGGGCAGGGCGGCGGGCCGCGGCCGGGCGCGCGTACGCCGCGCCGGCGGACGTGCTCCTCGCAGAAGCACGTCTTGCAGCGCAGGCACGAGTACTGGCCCAGCCGGTTGCACGATTGGCCTACGTGATACATACACATATCGTTTTAAAATGTTTCGCCATTTACCTACTTTTTAGAATAGGATGAGGCGTTACTTTGCGGTAATCTATACTTCACTAACAAATGGGAAAATATTTCGTTTTTATTCCGCTGAAAAAATCAATTTGCATTCAAGAATTCGAGTTTTCTGCCTTCGAGGCGCGGGAGCCGCTGCGTCAAAACTCCTGAGGATGCTCCGTGGAGGAGCGAGACATACGTCGAGTGAGGTTCGTGTGGTTTGTTGTATTTCGTATCGCATCTCTGCTGCGTGAGCGTTTATCTACGAGCGGTGCTGCATACTAAATGCTGCAAGTTCATTCCTACAGCAGAAAAAAAAACAAAAATTTTCCCATTTTTCTTTTCTCTTGTTCCCATTCCCATAGTTATTTACTTTTTATCTTGCTTTTTTCTCACAGTTCCGAATTTCCAAATAAGATACAAAGGGACGACGAGTGCGACTCGCCCTTTACAAGTTCTTTCAGACAAACCATGATTGAACACATGGAAGAAGTATCGGAAATCCGAAGGTTAAAATAAAGTGTTTACATTTATTGTTTAATGCAGTGTGGGCTGTTGTTGTATCGTCGCGACGGCGGTGAGTAAAATCAGTGTGTCACTTACACTTGTAGGTCTCGGCCTCGAGGACCTGGCAGGAGGCCTGGTGCTCGAACTGGTCGTCCTCGCAGAGGAAGCCCTGGCAGAAGCAGCAGCGGAACACGCGCCCGCCGTGCTCCCACACGCCTGCGGGACGTGCACTGTACAACACTCTCCATTCCTTGCATTGTTACGCTAGCAAGGAACATTCACTACCAACACAACTCTTAGGCATAACTCTTTCCATGTCAATCTGTCTTCACTAACTCTTCCTAAATAACGACAATGGATTTTGCAACTATCTTTTGTATGCCTTCATATTTATGTATAGAAGATTTTATTTATAAATGTATGTACATACATAAAACAGAATATGAATCATAAACTTTTGTTTGCCACCAAGCTACCGCTCGAACTTTACGAGCTGATATTAAACATGTGAATGGGTCGACTAGACAAACTATAAAACACAATATGTATGACAAACTGCAAAATATAAGATATTAAAAAAAAATAGATGATTTGCACTGATCAGTAATGTATACCTCGTTCGCACTCTAGGCAGACGGCATCCATCAGTGGGCAGGTGCAGGCGTGCGCAGTCAGGCACTTGCGCCCGTGGCACACCCACGCCTCACAGAAGTCACAGATAGCACCCTGCACAGAGCAATAGTGACATTTCAGCAAGTTACTGGATATGCTTATTGGTTGAGCTACAACGCTAAGTTCATCAGTACACGCACCACCATGCCAAGGCCAGTAGTGAAGACCCCTGGGTGACGCACAACACAGTCTCCAGACTTCAGCATGCACTTCACTTTGCCACAGTGCGCACAAGTAGGCAGACGCTGCACTGCCTGGCAGAAGTAACAGAATGCTCGATTCTTCTGCTTTCTGTAACCAAATCCAAGATGTTACCAATTTTAGTGTATATGGCTGCAAAAAGGGTGGGAGAGAAGAAATTTCCTAAACGTGAGGACTTGTAATTGGCTCATTGTTACCTATGCCTATTGTTATTTTTATCCATTTTTATAAGCTGTAAGTCCTCCATGAATTGTAAATAAATAAAAAAAGGGTACTTTTTTTTCATACAATAGCTCAAAGATTGTTAGACAACATAACATTCTCCAGGTGACGATATATTTAAAGATTATTATTACTTAAACCAAGTTACGGTATTATTTAGCTGATCACGTCTTTTTGTTGTTTTCTGTTTGGATCAAATTTAGTCATTGAAATTTTAACCCTTCTGACAACAGATTGATTCAATTGACGTTTGACTACATGACCCACAGCTTATCGTATATTAATATAAAGGTGAAGAGTTTGTTTGAACGCGCTAGTTTCAGGAACTACTGGTCCGACTAAAAATATTATTTTTGTCTTGGATCCCTAGTCCAGTTATTGGGAAGGCTATAAAATATTACGCTACGATCAATAGAAGCCGAGCAGATCGGGAAATAGCTAATGTAAATATTAATTGTATAGGTACAATTGTAACAAATTAGCAAGTACTTCTGGCATTTATCACATTCCATGGGTATGTTGCAGGGGTGGGCAGCCAAGTCCACGTTTTCTCGTGCATTCCGAATCTCTTTCTGTCTTAGTTTTTGCTTCTCGGCTTTCTTTCGTTGACCTGTTTTCTTCTTAGGCATTTTATATATTAGTGTAATTAAATAAACAATTAAATTTAAAAAACTACGGTATTTTGTTGAATAATATTGTAACTATAAAGCTCTAAGATGTGTTACAGGTAACTCGAGCGATG